GCACTGCCGTCTGCAAAGTGTGTGGGCACCATGGCGCTGGAGGACGGGACCGGATGGTGTGGCGGGCTTGGGGGGTGGGTACAGCTGGGCTCGCTCCTCGGGCCTGGAGGGAGGCTCTCTCCCTGAGCGAGACTGCGGGGGGATGCAGGGCAACATCATCAGCAGATCCACCCACCCAGGAAGGAGACTGGTGCCCTTCCAATGGCGCTGGCGGGAGGGATAAAGGCGGTGACATTTGAAAAGCAGAAAATATTGTGGTTATTATTTGAGACTAATTCCAGGACTCTGAGCACAGAAGGAAGAAATAAGAGATATACAAAGTGCAGTGTATCTCCTAAATTAGCCGACAACTAGATGGACACGATGTGCATGCCCACGAACGTGGACCCGCCAGCACAGGGAAGGGGCACCAAAAACCACAGACGTCCATGGGACGTGTCCATGAGCTGGTGCCTGAGGCTGGCGGCTGGTGCTGGGCACGAGGACTGGGTGCTCAGATGCTGGTGTGAGCGGTGGGGGGCGGGGGCTAAGAGACAGACGGACACACAGACGTCTGGAAACAGAACACGAGGCTCACGCACTAACCCTGCCAGGACCTCGTCTGGAGACCCAGGCCGTGTTGAGATGCTGCCACCAGCAAACGCAGCATCAGCAAAGGGCCTGCGTGAGGCAGGCGTGTGGGTGCGTGTGAGCCACCCTACAGCCGTGTCCCACATCTGCACGTGTCCCTCCCCACCCTGGGGGCCGGGGAGAGGCTGGGGGCATCACCGTGCGACACGTGCCCTTGTGGACTTTCAATTTGGTGGGGAGGCCATCCGCAGGTCACGGCGAGGGGGTGAGGAGTGCCAGGTGGGCACATGGGGGGCAGGCGGCCAGCCGGATTCCTGACACGGGGACTTCTGGACACGTGTGCGTGAGGAGGGTGGGTTGCTCTCCCCCGCCGTCCAGAGGTCCCAGCCCTGCTCCCTCCCCGGCCAGCCCCTCACCCATGGCACCACCCCCTGGCCATATCCCCAACCTGCGCTCACCTCCCAGGACCTCTCTGCTGAGTGGGAATTGCCCCTCCCCCACCCCAGCATTACTTCGCCCTGGGTTGGCCCGAGGGGCAGCGGCAGTGGCTCAGGGGCCCTCCGCGGACCCCACACAGCCACATAGGGCCCAGCTCACCAGTCCTGCTGGGACCTGTGACCACCTTCAGAGCAGATGAGCTGGGGCTGGGGAGGGATGCACGGGGGCCCCCACCTCTTCTTGCTGAGCCCAGCACCCTGAGAATCTCTGGCAGCCTGAGTTTCTGACAGTGGGTCCACCATGGGAGACCCCGTCTCAGCAACCCTTGGGATGGATGCTTCTGAGCATGACCTTGAGGTCCCTGACCTTGGCGGTCCTTGAGGTCGGGAGTCATGGAGGGTTCCTCCTTGAAATCCTGGCTCACAACGTGCTTAGTACAAGAAGGTAGTGGTGAGAAGGGCACTCGTGGACACACACACAGGTGGACACACACACACGTGGACACATACCCACAGGCATGCACACACCACTCGGACCACAGATGCCCTCCTTGCCCCTGAGGCTGAACATGTCCACTGTTGGCCTGGCCGGCCCAGGAGCTAGGCTGGAAGAGGAGCGCCCACCCGACGGCAGCTGCAGGGTGATGCTCTGGCCACGGAGGCTCGCTGGACCCCGACAGACAGGCAGAGGGGCGGCTCCGCTCCCCCACAGCCTGGGCTCACGTCAGCACCTGGTCAGAGGCAGACAGGGGGCTGTGGAGACCAGCATTAATGTGGCGGCAGGATGGGGTTCTGTGAGAGGGTGTGCTAAGGGGTCACGCGGTGGGCTGACGGAAGCTTTCCCGCTAGTTAAGGATGTCCTATGTGCCACGCTGGCCACAACCTCTGCTCCCTTTATCTTCAGAAAAACCCAGTGAGCTCAGCACAGTTCTCTCTACTCCACCGATGAGGAAGTCGAGGCACAGACAGGAGGTGTGAGCTGCCTACACCATCCGCTAAATCACGACCCACCCAGCCAGGCAGCCTCCGCCAGACCTGGGCCATGTCCAGGGCCGTGTCCAGGGCTGTGTCCAGGGAGCGTGGCCTCTGCCACACCACTGCCGTTGCCCCGGCTCAGGCCACCGGAACCGGTGGGCTGCAGGCGTGGCCAGGGTGCATGCGGTGTGGAGGGCTGGCCCGGGGCAGCCTCCGGGCACCTCTCAGCCTCTGCTCACGGCACGGTTGGGACAGGGCACCACGGAGGGAGCACATGCCATGCAGACCACGTGTGGCCATGCCTACAGCAGTGAGGTGGCCCTCACACCCTCGTTCAGGCTTTGGGGCATTCAAGCCAGAGAGAACTCTGCCCCAGCCTGGAAGTGGGCGGCAATCATGGCTGTCCCGTTCGGTGCATGAGCAAACTGAAGCCAGACCGCTCAAGTCAGCAAGGCAAGAAGCCGAGGAGGTGGCTTCCTTCGTCATGGAAGCCTTGTTGCCAGGGCTGGAGGCTCGGCGTGTCTCCCCCGATCACGGAGACGGACTCACGGGACACTTCTCCCCGCCAGGGGCACTGGCTTGGGAGAGGGGAGGAGGGGAGAGCCATGCTCAGGTGAAGGTCAGCCTCCAAGAGTCCGGGCTGTTTGTTATGCAGCCTGACCCAGCCCATCCTCACTGATACACCTCTGGCTCTGGATGGAGGCGGTCATCCTTATTTGTATGAACCCTGGTGGTCATGAAGCTCATTATCCTTTTCTCTAGCTTCACTGTTTGTGTATTTCCCTGCAACGCACCCAGAAGACTGGGGAATGGTGACGTCGGGCCCCCAAGCTGTGTAAGCAGCTCAGGTGGCCGAGCCTCCTGGGAACTCCTACTCCAACCACGTTTCCTCCCTGCGGACTGACTCCCTCCTGCACCTCGGGCTTGTCCTTCCTCTGCATGGAGGAAGGAGGCGTGACCCTGTCCTGGTCACGCGGGACTGTCCCGTCTGTGCTCTGATGGCAGAGCCCAAGACTGCCCACCAAGGTGTGCCCCTGCCGTCCAGGGAGTCCAGGGGCCACTGCTGGGCCTGCACTCTGCCCCCTCCTCCCTCCCAGGACAAGCCCGCTCTGTGCCACCACAATGCCGCCAAAGGCCAGGGACGTCTCCTTAAGCTCAGGAGCAGACTTTAAACTGCCTTTGACTGACCCACCCAGCCACAGCCCTGGGGTTCATGTTTTATAAAGAGCGGCCAGAAACGAACAGACGTGGCTTTTCCCAACCCCGTCCAGATTCAGCTCTAGGACTCTGGGCGGCAGAAACCGTCTGACGACAAAGACCACTCTTTGCAGATCTGAGCAGATTTCCCGGGAAAGGGGAAATCTTTTTGACATGGGTCTCCTTTGGGGTTCTACTTTTCTGTGTCCAGGACTTGGCCGCCGTGCGGGAGGGGGTGGGCACTCACACACAGGGTGGGGGGATCCCCAAGTAGCTGGAGGCCGGGTGCTGTCCACTTGCCAGGGAGGGGCTCCCAGAAGAACCGGACAGGTCCAGGCAGGCCCAGGAAGGAGGACCCTGCCAGCCACGCCTGCCATGGCCCCCTCCCAGGACACCCCAGCCCGCGAACAAAAGCCATGCTTACCAAAGGATTTTTTCTTTATTTTCATAATTTAGCTGAATCAACACAAAATTGAATACTGTAAAACAAGGAAAAAAACGCTGTAACATCTTAAACCTCCAGTGTCTGCCTCCAAAGGGGTCTACACTTGCCGTGGGAAGACACAGGCTCAGGGAGGTGGCAGAGACCCTCCCACGGCCACTGCCCCGTCTGCGCTGGGAGCCCAGCACCCACCGTATCTCTCCCTCCAGACACTCAGGCCTCTGAATGTGTGGTGACTGGAAGGGTAAATTAAATACTCATGGACATCGAAACGGGTCTTAAATAAATGGGTCTTCTCTCCTATCTTTAGTCTATGGGTTGCTGGGACAGCTTCTATATATTTATTATTATTATTATTTTTTTTTTACTTTTTCTTTCTTTCTTTTTTTTTTAGTAGCATAGAACTAGCATAGTGCGCCTGTTAATTGGACCGTCAGGTAGTATAGTTCTGCACAAACTCAGGAGAATGAAGGACCCCACGGGACCACGGCCTGGTCCAGGGACGGAGACGCGGAACTGTCCCTTGCTCGTTGGGCCCGGCGACCCCGTGCTCCGGGGAGGGTGCGGGAAGGTCAGGCGCCTGCCATTCTCTGCAGGGCGGCCTGCCCCAGTGACTCGGCGGCAGACGTGAAGACAGAGAGGGAGCGGGACATCGACCGGGAGAGGAGGTCGGCGGCGGCGGCCTCAGAATCTGCCCGTGGGGGAGGGTCAGGAAAAGGGACACGGTATCCGTCGGAAGGGGTGTGACCGACAAATCGCGCACTCGGCCTTCACCGAGCCGGGCCCAAGGCGGGTGAGGAAGGCCACCTCCCCACGGGCACCCGCCGCGGCTCCTGGGACGTCAGGCACGTCCTCGGCGGCTGTCCCGGAGTCCTGCCTGACCGTGCCCGGCTCCCCCCGTGCCCACCCCGGAGCCCTTCAGAGACACCAGCGCTCCGCCTGCCAAGCGGGCCGACTGGGGGCTACCACATTAATTGTTAAATAGGATTTTCTACAAATATACAACATATAAAAACTGTTAAATATATAACTTTAGGCTTTGCAAAATACATTTAATGATCTCTTCCAAACAAGTGTTACTTTAGGTTTCTTTAATTTGCTTTCTGGAGCTAAATGGTGTGTCGAGCAGACAGCAGTCACGGGAGACCCAACATGCTCTTGGCGAATACTGGATTATCCCACTATCAGAAATGAGCTGTAGAGAGGCATGTTTAACTGGTTAAAACAGAAAGTGATTTTAGTCGGTCAAGTCCATCTAAGTACAGAGGAGCAGGGTGTGTGCGGTGGTCTGTGTTCCCGGCGAGCGGCGCTGGCCCGCGGGGTCCGCGTCGGGGCATCACTGGCCGGGCCCTGCAGGGCTGCCGTGGTGTCCTCCGCAGGCTCGGCCCCTCTCAGTGCGCCCCGCAGTGTTCGTGGTGGTGACACCTGTGCTGGGGCCGCCCTCCGCGTCCCACCGGGGCCGCCGGCATGTCTCTGCCCCCGCGTCCCCCCGGCGAACCCAGGGACTCTGACGGTGAGGGCGAGTCCAAGTTAAAATAGATTTTGCTCTTTGGTCTATTGGGTATACTGAAAGGGTACGAAAATAAAAGTGATTCGCACAGTCTGGGGGGCGAGGAGAGGCCTCTTCTGAGCCCGAGGGCCCGTGCTCCCCTGGGCCCGGCGCTGTCCTCCTCTCCCGGGCTGGCTGGGTGGTCGCCCCTGTGGCTGCCACCTCGTCCTCCTCGGAGAGCACAGCCCAGGCCGCGGCCAGGGAGGGCGGGTGAAGCCAGGCTGCCACAGATGCCCAGCGTGGCCCCCGCTGTGTGGCCCAGGCCAGACTCCTCGCTGTGGCGGACACGCTCAGCTCAGGACGCCAAGGAAGTGGGCCGTCCTTGACGGGCGGGCTACAGAGAGACGGAGGGCGGGCAGAGAGCGGACAACAGGTGGAGTCCACGGCAGACAGAGGACCGTGGCTGAGGTGTGGCCACTCCCGGGGCCCCTCTGGGGCTGCGTTTGTCAGGAGACCTGAAGGACAGAGAGAAGAGAGCGTCAGCCCCATAGACACCAAGGGTCCCCACTGGGAACCGACAAGCCCAGGACACGCCCACCTGTCTGGCCTCGTGCACGGGGCACAGCGCATCCCAGAGGCCGGTCCTCCTCTCTCCCCGACTCAGGCCTGCACACCTGCTCGAGGACATGACACTAGACTCAGGCTACACCTGCCACACGGAGCAGCTCCTGGAAACACCGGCCTTCCTCTGTGCATGGTGGGGACCTGGCCCCCCTGGCCTGGGCATGACCAGAGAGGGCTCACGCCCCGAGCACTGCTGGCTCAGGACACCACCTACGTATCCTCGGCCCTGTGCCATGTACACAGCAGGTGTTGCATAATTGCACGGTGATAAGTGATAGGAATGCATGTGTCACACACCCGTGGAGCCACCGGGAGGCCACAGAGGTGAGGTGGCATGCAGGTCCCCCAAGGTCCCTGCATCCCAGAGTCCCAGGAAGTCCTGCCACGTAGGCTCCCTGGCTCGTGGCTGCATCTGTCCTGCACCTGTCACGTGGCCCTCCTTTTCGTCCCAAACCTCGCCCTGGTCTCTCTTACAAGGACGCCTGTCACGGGATTTAGAGCCCAGCCAGGGCCAGAACAACCCCATCTCAAGACCCTTAACTTAATCATATCTGCAAAGACCTTATTTCCAAATAAGGCTGCACTGACAGGTTCCAAGTGGCCACATCTTTCTGGGGGGCTACTGCACAACCCAGTCCAGCTCATCTGACCAGCTGCCCCAACTCAGCCCGTGGATCCTGACCCTGAATCTGGTCCACACCCTCCACCTCCAGTCGCCCCGATCTTAGCAGAGGCCCCACGGCGTGCTCTGTGCCCAGCCCAGGAAGGTGGGGTGGTGGGACCCTCACCTGGCCTGGACCCTGCGTGCCCACTGGTCCCGGGTCCCTCCCTGCGCTTCCTGGAGCACGTGGGGGCCGTGCCCCCCACCCATGCAGCCAGGTTGGGGAAGGCAGGCGCAGACCCTCCAGCACACACACGCATGAGCCCCCACGGGGTTAACCGAGGAAGGATGCACTGACTCTACTTTTCTCTATTTCTAGAATTGTACAAATCGTACTCACAGGTGACAGGAGAAAGAGCGATGAACAGAAAACAAAAACAAAATCCACCTACATTTCCATTTCCAGACAGAGGTAACTATTTTGAAAATTCCAGCCTATTTCCTTCCCCTCTTTAGCAGTGCTAGCAGGCGGACAGGGCGGGTCCTGTACCAGTGGCCACGCACACGTCCACAGGGTGGCCCACGTCCCGGCTGCACCCGTCTCCCGCCTTTGTGTGTTACACCAGACACACGAGGTCTTCTTTCTCATGCAGGGAGCACGGTGAATGCTCATCTGGATCCCCACCGCTGCTTTAAGCAATGCGGTCGCTGCACGCATACTAGCAGCTTCTTAGAGCCATGGATTTTAGCACTTCCAGGCTTGTGGTCTGGATTCTCCTGAATGAGTCGCAGCCGGAACAGGGACTGTCAGTGCCGGCTTCCCGGGTGGGGCCGAGGCGACCCTCATGGGGGATGACCAGCCCTACCCAGCCAGCCACGAGCCGCACACAGGCCTGATCCTTTAACCGTGTCTTTTCTCAGACCCACCCCCTCTCGACTCACAAGGTGCAAATTTCCACGTGGCCCACGCAGCAGGGGCTGCACCAGCAGCTCCTGAGAAACGCCAAGACTTCCGTGGGGCTAGGGGAGGACTCGCTCATGGTCCCCAGTGACACCGGCCCCTGGCTGGTCTCCACAGCGGTCACTCTCCTGGGACCCTGGGGGAAACCTGGCATCTAGAGCCTCCGTTACGATGCATCATCTCCTCCTGCTTTGCTCACCGTGCCCACAGCCCTCCCCCGCAAGGCTGGGTGGGGACCCCACGGGACAGCGCTACAGTGGGGGGCCGTACCCCAGGCCGGAACACCCGTGCACGGAGCCCGCCTCTCCAGGAGAGCAGCCTGACTCATGTCCCTTAATCTCCCCAAGGCCACTGCCTCACTCCCCACACCCCCGCGCCTGCTAGCACCCAGACACCTGACCTCACCGGCACGGTCACTGATTCCGTGGATTTCAACATCAGCCCCTCCCCGCCCCCACCCCAGAAGCAGAGCCACAGGACGCTCAGGGCCCTCGTGGAGTGCTTCCCAACTGGGAGGTCCCAGCGGCCATGGGGTGACGCTGGGCCCCTCCCACGGGGAAGGGAGGCCTGTGTTTGCCTGCTGTTCAGGACGCCTCCGTCAGGCCCCACGTCCACCAGCACACAGAGCCAGCTCCACGTCAGGGTCACAGCTCCAGGGGGTCAGCTGCTCCCTGTGGACCAGGGAGCTGGGGTGCTGCAGGGCCCGGGGACACCCCCCTCCCCAGCCCCCACCTCCTCAAGATAAGACAGGAATCAGGTTTCCTTGCCACGGAGACCAGGAGCTGGTGACACTCCTCCTCGGGGGCCTGGAGTGGTCTGTGCTGGTGCCCCAGCTGAGCCTTCTGGAGCTTCATGAACCTGTTCCTCCCCAGACGGGAGTGGGGTGTCCACCGCAGCTCTGGGCCTGGGGTCTCGCCACCATCCGTGGGGCCAGGCAGCTGGTGGGACAGGTTGTCCCAGGGGCAGGACCACCAGGGACAACGGCAGGGGACGCTGGTGGGGCGGCGGGAACAGGGCCTGGAACCTCGGATCTGGAGGGCAGACAGCGGTCTCAGGAACCAGGCCTCTGCAGGCCAGCCACCCTCCCCAACGTGGGGTCAGGATGACACGGCCATCATCATCAGGGGAGGCGCCTCCTCCCAGAAGCCCCTGCCACTCGCTGGCTCACTAACCATGGATTTCAGGTAATGCAGCCACTGGCCCCAGCATTTCTAAGCACAGATATTTTAATTACCAAAATAGTTCTGAATAGTCCCGGACCCAGGAAACCTGTAGCGAAACAACAGTGAGCCCGGGCAGAGCGGCAAGCCCAAGGCCCTGTGCCAGGACACAGCACGCCCGCCCGGCAGGTGCTGAAGGAGGGGCTGCTGGGGAAAGTGTCCCGGGACGGTGAGAGCCTGGAGGGGCAGGCGGCAGGTGCTGCCCGAGGGCGAGGCCGCGTCTGACTTGCACCCAGCAAGGCAACCCCTCCTGGTCTTGTGCAGGCATGTGGGCCCATGAGGCCGGCCTGCCTCCTCTGTGAGACCGGACCCGGGCAGCGGGAGGTTTTCTCCTCTCCTGGCTGGTGGGCCGGGTTCAGGAGGATTCTGAGGCCCTTTCCAGACGTGGTGCAAAGGCTGGTGTGCATGATTTACAACACTGGCCTTGCTGCAGAAGGGCAGTCCAGGGGCTCGGGCCCAGGAGCTGGGTGCTGTCCGCGCCCCCAGCCCCCTCCACCAGGAAGCCTCTGCAGCTCCACGGTCCCCACCCGGAGCAGTTTGCACACCAAAGCCTGTCCTGTGTCCTCTCACGTCTGTCTGTGCCGACTTCAGTGGACCAACCGGCTTCTCAGCAGGTGCACCCAGCGCTGGCTCCCCACCCTGCCCCAGAGGACCCCCGGCCCCCAGCTGATGCTGCTTCCCATCTTCTTCCACATACCCCGGCCTCACGCTTCCTGCTGCGGGCGGCCCAGGAGACAGACACCAAGCACAGCAGAGCTGAGGAGTCCCTCTGCTTGGGCCGGGCTTCCCCACCGAAGGCCGACCCGGACTGGACAGAAGAGCCCCGAGCCCAGCCTGTTGGACAGACGCAGACGCAGGTCTGGCTTCCCTCATCGGCACCCACCTGTCCCCTTCCTCCTGCCTCGAGGCCCAGGGCAGGAGGACAATGCCGGGCCTGCTTCCCTGGCATCCGCCTGACCCCAGGAAGGGACGCGCAGCCTGATGCCCGCAGTGCTGGCCCAGCCCACAGCTCCTCCATAGGCCCGGTGACAGGGACTCACGCTTGCAGTCGGGGCTGCCGCGGCAGCGTCCAGTGGGGCCTGGAGGCAGGGTCCTCGCGGGCACTGGCAGAAGCCAGCCAGAGCCCTTCCGGCCCCGGGGAAGCCAGACGCGTCTGCAGCTTGGGAACCTTCGGTGGTGGCCCATCTCAGGGCCTGTGCCGGCCGCCACAGCTCCACGGAAACCGACGGTGTGCAGGCCTCTGCCCGAGGAGGGACATTCCAGCTGGCTTCGCTGGCCTCTGGCTCCCTTCCTCAGGAACACCCGCTTCGGTCTCATCCTGACGTCGGCTGCCCCCACCCGGGGGACACCAGGGAAGCCCTCCTGCATCCTGGCAGGTGCCCTTCACCCGGGGACTGCACGGCTGGGCTCCCGCGACAAGAAACATGCGTCACACCTGCACGATGGGCCCCCACCAGCTCAGGGACAAGCTCAGCCCGTGGCCCCTGGCTTGGAGGGACTCTGACGGCCATCTTGGGCTTGGGGACAGCTCGGGTGGAGGGGACAGTCCCCTGTGAATGTCCCTGCTTCTCGAGAGCATGCCCTTGCTGGGAGACCCCTTGCCACCAGGACATAGTCCCCGGGTCAGCAGGTGGGGTCCCTCCAGCCACGACCCCGTGTCCTTGGGGAAGGGTCCTGAGCAGGTGGTTCCTGAGCCCCGTCGGCCCCAGGATTCTCGCCGACACCAGACACCCGCCCGCCTGCGACGGCCCTAGGGGGCACGCCGGGGCTCCCGTCCCAGGGGGTCATTCCGCCCACCCCGGAGAGGCACGTGTTCTTCACGGCGGCGGGCGGGCTTCTCGACACTACAAAGCATCGTTTAAAAAACAAAATGAAACTGTCCAGCCCCTGTGAGTCCAGTGAGCACTGTTCTCTGTTCTTCATTAAAAGCTGGTGTTTCCTGTCAGGTCTGGACAAGTGTTCTGTAGGAAGGAGCCCAGTGTTCTGGACTGAGAGTCCCAAACAAAGGGTCCTAATAAACAGCAGCCACATGGGCACCGTGAGATGGGGAGGTGATGGCAGCCTGCTCTGACAGGCCCGGGATGAAAACGGCCGTTGCCATGGGAAAGA